CAAATTGCAATAGCCAATAGCAGTATAGGGGGTACCAAGATTCCGATAAGCCCCCCTGTCTGCAGACCCCCACAAACACCGGGCCAGGGTTGTGGGGAAGAGGCCCTTGTCCTCATCGACATGGAGACAAGGTGCTTTTCCAGGCCCCCCCTTCCAATCAAGGGCATGGTGCAGGAGGGGAGCGCATATTCGTCCTCCCCACCCCCCTTTCCTGCCCTGCCTGGCAGCTGCTCAGATCAAAAGGTCTGGTAATGAATTTTAAGGGGAACCCCACACATCTTTTTTTTGTTTCATTTGTGTTGGGGTCCTTCCTAAATTTACTACCAGTCCTAAAGGGTCTGGCATGAATTGAGGGCGGGAAGGAGCTGCATGCTGGGTTTTTTTTTTGTTTCTGTGGACTTTTAGAAGTTAAAAGCTCTTCTGCATTTTGTGACAGCTGTCCGATTTTTTGTAGACATTGGGGATGGGAGTCTGAATGTCAGCAAAAGGCAAAGAGAGCTGCTACAGAATGACACACAGCTCTCAGCTCCTTTGTTTACATTCTGTAACAGCTTTCTGCTACTTTATTGCCATTCTGGACTCGCATCCCAAATGTCAACAAAGAGGCAGAGAGAGCTGTCACAGAATGACACACAGTTCTGCTGCTCCTTTGTTCCATTCCGAATGACATTCGGGATGCATCCAAATTATATTATTAAACATTCGGCTTCGTTATTTCTGTCATTTGGAAATTCAGATGCATTTGAATGTCCGAATTCACAGAAATATGTACGAATGTCAATTCGTAACGAAACAAATCGCACATGTCTAGATGTTGTGTGCGTGGGGCGATGGTCCTTTTAAGATTTCTAAGATATTTTTTCCATTTAACCTTTATTGTTTTTACCATGGGACTAACAAACCACCTAAGTGATAACATTAGGCAGGTGACAGGTACTCTTTATGGAGACATCAGGGGTCTATTGGACTTCCCTGCCTTCTTCTACAGCAGACCGGGCACAGACTGTGCTTGATCCACTGTTTACCCGACTGTTCAGCCAGGAATTTGACACTCTGGACCCGGAAAAGTGTAGAGCTGAGGAGTGTGGCACCCACAAGTTATGTTTAAGTGACCAAGTGACTCTACAGCCATCCAGATTACTTTTAGATAAAAGGCACTGAGCTGGAAGTAGAAATCTGAAACAAGCATTTAGAGGTATCCCATTGCAATCCAAACCGACGTATCCTAATGTGTAGCTTAAATGGGGGCTGAAATGGCCAACCGATGGCGCCGTAAGACTAATGGAGAAAATTAGGTCACCAGCACACCGACGTCCACTTCATGAATCTGTCTTATCTTGCTGTTTAGATAGACGTGGTGTCACAAGCAAATGCAATGTTTTCGGAACTACGTGCAGGCCTACATCAGGCGAAACGATGCGACAATCTGTTCAAGAAATCTAAAACAAGCTCACAGCTTTTGAACCCCCTGAAGGGTGGACAAGCCAGCCACATCCAAAAGAACTTAAGCAGTTATATGAGATGCAAAGTACCAACAAAAAAGTTTTTTCTAATGTCAACTCATTGAGACTACTGAATGCAACTTAAACAAGAGAAATTATTTTCTTCAGTGCACTCTACAAGGGGAAAATTTCAAGTACGGTAGCCAAAAAAAGAATGATGCTTCAATAAAGCAGATGCTTGATTAAAATGAAGCTTTAATAGATGGGCAGCATGCAATGAGTCTAGTCTAATAGATTTTACAGATTCTGTGCTTACAATGTCATGTGTGATAACAAACATTGAAGTACTGCAGGATTCAGTGCAGAAAGAACTGCAGTAAAAATGTTTCCAAGGTAACAAGCTATATAAGTCAGTGTGATACATTCTGTCCTTTGCTTCTATCTCTCTACCACATACACTAGAGTAGGGGGATTGTAAAAATATCCAAAGGATGTTCACCATTGTATAAAAGAAATAATGCTGGCTATACAAACTGATACATTTTGCCCAATACAAAAGATGCCTATGCTTTGTGAGGTAACTATATGAATGTATAGATCAGAATCCAGTTTGCCCAATACAAAAGATGCTTATGCTTTGTGAGGTAACTATATGAATGTATAGATCAGAATCCAGTAGATGAATGTCAGCGAGGAGAAATAAAATACAAAAAACTATTTACCCAGCATCAAACTTTTGTGCTTCTCCACTTACAGTAAATGCCTGGTGACAGATTCACTGGTAACCAGTTCCCTGTAGCAAATCACTGGGATTATTTAGTTTTTAAAATTGTAAGCCAAAGATGTGTTAGAATCACAGTTGGGATATCAAAATTAATTTCTGAATTAACAGATATGACTAGCACCAGTAGGACATCAACAATTTTACAGACTATACATTACTTGGTGGCGTGTGCCCCCCTGAGGCTGACTTGGAGTCTTGGCCTCCTATCATGAAGGAGAGGTTTCCAGCAGTAGAGCTGAGGGACAACCATGAGGCTCTCAAAGATGGCAGCCTCATCAGTATAAATGCAGTCAAATCAGAGGGGACATAGAAGAAGGTTCAAGCTGCACCTGAGGACATAGAACACAAGTGTATTCTAAGTGGAGGTAAGAACCTGCTGGTTCTCATAGAACACGAGTGTATTCTAAATGGAAGTAAGAACCTGCTGGTTCTCATAGAACACTAGCGTATTCTAAGTGGAGGTAATAACCTGCTGGTTCTCATAGAACACAAGTGTATTCTAAATGGAAGTAATAACCTGCTGGTTCTCCTCAAGAAGGAGAACTGAAGTTACAGAAATGGATACAGATAGGCGTTATACTACAACTTCCATTTTCGAAGACTGCCCAGTCATATTTAGACACTCTGCCCATCTGCTCAAACAGGAAAGTGGAGGTAAAACTAATAGGCAGCAGAAAAGACCTACTCAAGTAATTCACACGGAGCTGCTAAGCCCCAAGCTACATACATCTCTGCAATACAAATCTGTGTAAGTACGCTTGTGCTAATGCTGTGGCCGTCACACAGCTCTGCCAGCACAAAGTACTGTAGAAAAGGCAAGGAAGTGATATCTTCACTTAAAAAGGATATTTTGAAGGATTTCAAGAAAATGTCATGGCATGCAGGGGTACAGGACCAAAAAAGATGAAAAAGTGTAAGACTTCTACTGGACTTTAAAGAAGAACGCCGGGCAGAATAAAACTTAACCCTTGCAGTAGGGGTCTGACATTGCCAGCACATGCTTGATTGAACAATCTTTAATTAAGGGTTTTGTTTTAGCAGTGATAGATGTCTTGTGTCGTCCATTAAATACTGGGAGAAAAGAAATTGCCTTTGTTTACTTTCATAGAGCTTCAAACAAACACACACACCCATCCGTGCTAAAAATCTGCTTAAATGGTTACAAACACCAGTTAAATGTAAAAATGTAAATTTTGTTGTTTAGCTGACACAGACAGAAGGCAAGTGGTTGAGGTATTTATTAGGGCTGGTAACGATTAAAATTTTCGTGTTCGATTACTCGAATTTTTAAAAAAATGTCAATTATAACGCACATACAGATCCAACTACATTATTATTATTATACAGGATTTATATAGCGCTAACAGTTTGCGCAGCGCTTTACAATATAAGGAAGACATTACAGTTACGATACAAGATGGTAAGGAGGGCCCTGCCCCTGAGGGCTTACAATCTGAAAGAGGAGGGGGAAATGATACATAAGGAGGGAGCTGTGTGGGGATGAATTATTTGAGAATGTGAAGGTTCAGTGGTTAGGTCGAGGTGGGATCAGCACAGCAATGAAGTAATAAAATGAACTAGGATCACACTAATCCAGCACGTTATTAATCTCACGTGCCCCATTCAATATGGCCGCCTCTTGAGTGGGGCAACTCAGAATAATAACATGCTGGATTACTGTGATGCTAGTTCATTTTATTACTTCATTGCTGTGCTGTATGTGTATAGGCCAATGCCTTGGCTGGCTCTTGTGCAGAATGTTTCTTGGGCAAACTCACCGGCCCAAGTGGCTCCGTCGGACTCCTCCCCCCCTCCCTTCGTTAGCCGACGGAGACACTTGGGGAAGGGGGGAGGAGTCCGGTGACATCGATGTTCCTGACGTCACCGGGTCGCCGAAGGGACTCCCGGAAGCCGGCGGCGAGGTGAGTGTTTTCATTAGCGATCAAAATAATTTTAATCGATCAAAAAGTTTAACGATTAATCGAGAAATTTATCTTTAATTTTCACAGCCCTAGTATTTATAGAATTCTGTCCTTTAAATTATGATGTAGCCAAAAATAAATATCACCTAGGCCGACTGTCCAATGGAAAATCCTCAGAACAGGGCATTTTGAATGTTCCCAGGTATGCCCGCACCACAATTAATTTGCGTCAACACTCATTACAGGCTCATATGCCTTTAGTCACTTGGTCCTCTCCCCTTACCATCACACTGACTTTGGCCCCTCAGGAGACATGACCTATACCTGCACTACTTTGCCTCTGCTGCAGTTCCATTCCATACCAGTGCGTGAACATTCAGTTGTTTCCTCCTCTGTTTGCCCACAAGTTAAAATTACCATTGTCTGCACAATCGCATACCTCCATCATATTCCCTCTAGCTATATGCATTACAAAATACTGCAATCAAAGTAATATTAAGGCCTGGTTCACATCTGAGCGTTAGCGGAATCGCGAACAGACGAGAAACACGCTTGCAGTGAAATTCATTTCTAATAGCACCCCAAATGCAGCCTGCAAATCGTGCGGTACAAGCACAAACGCAGCAGAAAAATGCATCCTGCGCATTGCACAAAAAAGTGCAGAAGCTTTTTTGCCAAGTGGATATGACCCCATTGAAATCAATGGGGCAATGCGACAACCACACATGAACACAAGTTCCTGGGATGCACAGATGTGAACCAGCTTTTATCCATTCTTCAGTAGCTACAACTCCAAACCAGTTTTTTTATGCACCACAGGGCTCACTTTTTCTAAACTGTAAACATACCAACCTTAAGACCTCGCAGGATCTGGTATACAAGGAACTGGATTCGATCTTCTGATAATTTCTCATGCTTCATTATCTTGCCCAAGTCTGTGCCCATAAAAGGCATAACTAGATAACTGCAAGAAAAGAAAAAAAAAAAAGAATACAAATATATTAGTGAAACAAGCTGACTATATGGTATATGCATTTCAAAGAGCAACAGGACAAAAGTATGGATGTTTATATTGTATATTTTTATTACTATGGCGTGTTTTTTTTTTTTTCCTCAAAGGGTTTTACCTGCTTTTGGGGCAAATGGTAAGGCGGCCATCTTGGGTGCGCTCAGTACAATATCATACTAGGGAAAATTTAAAACAGGAGCCAATTAACCTACCAGCATGTCTTTGGGGTGTGTGGGAAACACACTGAAGCTCAGGGAGAACATGTAAATAGTGTCCTGACCAAAAGGAATATATTACGTTGATATTACCCAAGTATCACGATCTCTCATTACTAAATTAAAAAGGCTAGTTCACCATTTTCTAATTCAGCTATGCGATATTCAAAAAAGGTACAAGTTGCCAAGCCGGGAACTATAGACCAGTCAGTCTACATCAATAGTATGCAAACTGTTAGAGGGGATGATAAAGGACTATTTAGTGGACTAAGTTTGTGACAATGGTATAATTAACGATAATCAGCATGGATTTATGAGGGCCCGTTCGTGTCAGACCAACCTACTAACATTCTATGAAAAGGTGAGTAGAGATCCGGATAGAGGAAAACAAGTAGATGTGGTGTACCTGGATTTTGCAAAACCTTTGACACGGTACCACATAAATGCTTAGTACACAAGCTGAGATCTATGGGCATAGATGAAATGGTGTGTACATGGATAGAGAGCTGACTACAGGAACAGGTCCAGAGAGTATTAATAAATGACTCTATCTCAGATTGGTCTAGGGTCGAGAGTGGTGTGCCCCAGGGGTCTGTGCTGGGCGACATACTGTTTAACCTTTTTATTAACGATAGCCATGTTTCTGTGTTTGATGATACTAAAATTGGGAGGGTAATAGACACAGACTTAGACATTATAACATTACAGGAGGACCTGGATAAAATAGGTGAGTGGGCATCTACAGCATTTGGCAGAGGAGGTTCAATGTTGATAAATGTAAAGTAATGCATCTAGATGTTAAAAACATGCAAGTGGATAACACAGTAAGGGGTACTCTACGAGGGAAGTCAGAAATGGAAAAAGATTTGGGGGTCATAGTAGACCACAGATTGAATAATAGCTTGCAATGCCAGGCTGCAGCTAACAAAGCGAGCAGACTACTGTCTTGAATTAAAGGAGAACTATGAGGTGAGTGATTTTCACTCATCCTCATAGTTCTAGCCGACCTGTGACAATGAGACTGTCACAGGTCGGCTCAGAAGATCGGGAAGTGAGCGAACACATACCGGCGTTCGCTCACTTCTCGATCCTGTCACGGCTCTCTGCCGTGACAGGGGAGGGACTGGATTTCCCCCTCCGATCCTCCAGCGCTTACTGTCGGAACGGACGGAGGAGGGGGAGGGTACAGCTGGCTCTGCCTCTAGATAGGCAGAGCCAGCTGTCACTCACGCAGCTGGGCGGATCCAGACATAATTGTCGGGATCCGCTTCAGCTGCGGCGTCTCAGTATACCGCAAGCTTTTGCTCGCGGTATACTGAGCTTAGGGTGACGAGAGGACGCTAGTTTGTGTCCTCCCGTTACCCTAAGGAGAACTATGGGGAAAAGCCCTAACCCCATAGTTCTCCTTTAAAAAGGGAATGTACTGTTATACTGAATATTCCCCTGATTCGTGAACCCTGGCTGTGTCTCTTCAGCTACTGGAAACCATCACCTATACCTAGTAGACAGAAGCAGCAATGGGTGTATGTGGCTCTGTTACTGGCAAAACGTATCATTATGTACCAATGGCTCGCCACATAGCCGCCCTCGCCCCAACATTTTCTGCAGGCCCTGACGTCTCTGATGTAGAAGGAGAGAATCGAGGGTACTCTGGACCCAGACAAGCACTCCGCAGTTTTCATTGGGAAGTGGGAACCTTTCATATTGCATAATTATTCAGGTGCTGAGCTACATGCTCTACTATATCCTTTCAAACTTACCAAATGGTATCTAGAACGGAGATTGGAAAGCACCCTAGGGCAGTTAGAACTCCCGGAAGACTACGAACCTGGCTAGGTACAGCAGTCATTAGGGTCTGATATACACGCGGCAGTCAGCTGCTGGTAGGGTAGCATGCACAGGAAACAACGATGCAGCACTTTCTGGAAATTGTACTACGCAACATGCAAATCTCTATGTCTCTTTTAGGTTAATTTTTTGTTATGCATGTGACACGAGTATACGATTTTTTGTTTTGATCTGATATATTGATATTTCTTATTATTTTTATGCTTTGGATTTTCGATGTTCTGTGGAAAATCAATAAAAATGTTTTTTTAAAAAAAGGGAATGTAGTGTACAGACAAAGCAATCATTTTGCCACTTTATAGATCATTGGTTCGGCCACATCTTGAGTATGAGGTTCAGTTTTGGTCACCAGTCCACAGAAAGGATGTCCTGGAGCTGGAGAGAGTCCAGAGAAGGGCAACTAAACTAATTAAGGGGCTGGAGCACCAAAGCTATGATACAAGGTTACAGTAAACCCAGTAACAACGACTAGAGGCCACCACCTAAAATTGGTGGAGAAAAGATTTAACCACAATGGGCATAGGGGCTTCTTTTCTGTTAGAGCGGTTACATTTTGGAACTCTCTGCCACAAGCAGTGGTAGCAGCAGAGAGTATTGAATCATTCAAAAATCAATTAGATACCATCCTCAGAGACCGTAACATACAGGTGTACAGGTACTCTTAACGCCTAGGACCACACAGGGACTCGTATATACACACGCACACCACACACCTTGCAACCATCGCACGACTTTCGTTGTGCGATGGTTGTAAGGTAATTAAAATCTTGTACGATCTGCCCATCTTGGACAGGCAGATCGTACGTGCGATCATCGCAAGCCCTTCCTGCTGAGGGGAGGGCTTCCGATGATTCCAATGCTGAGCCGGCAGCGTGCGCATGCGCACACCGGCCCGTTCGGCATTTGTCCTCCGAGCATGCCACTAACCCGCCTAAAATCGTACGATTTTCGGCAGGTTTTCAATCGTGCTCGGAAAACAAAAGACGTGCGACCGTACAGTAGAAAGGGCCACACAACTTCCATACACCTGCCGATTATCGTACGATGGCGGGATCACCCACGATTATCGTACGATAATCGGCAGGTGTATGGGCACCTTTACACATAAAGGTTGAACTTGATGGACCTGTGTCTTTATTCAACCTCAAATACTATGTAACTATGGGTGAAATCTGGTGGGTCAATTACCCACCGGTTTTTAAATCTTTCAGGGCAAAGATTCCCATTGTGAAGAATCTGGATCGTCCCCATCCATTGTGCCTTGCTCCTATAACTGCTACAAGATGAATGCCACTTTATGCTGCATTTTCCAAATAGTAAAAGAGAATTCACCTGTAAATGATCTACAATATATCTAAAAAACAAAAAAGACAGCGGGCGATTTTCCCTCCCAATAACAGCCCAGGTCTGAAGTGTTAGTTGTGGGTAACGTAACCCTTTAAAACGACAACAAAATCCAAACAGCTTGTATTCTACATCACAAATGTACTGGATAACCTGATATAATACAAGCTTGCTGCGCTCCAAAGAGTGTGTGGGTGGTGTACTTAGATTAAATGTAAGGTCAATGGATCTGCAAAATCAAAGTGCTTACTGATGTTTAATGCAAAGAAACAAGATACACATTTATAAACTGAACTTTGTATCAAAATTGGAATATTTACCTAGATACCATTATGTTACACAGTAACTGCACAGGGAACAGACATAACTAATCGCACATCGATATGCAATGCTAAGAGCTTCAATAAAAAGGAGATCTCAATGTAAAACAATTATACCACAATGTGGGGAACTGAGTCTTTACAAACTATGAAGAATAATCATCATAATATCAATATCAGCCTAAAGCAAGAAAAAGGAGGTAGTTTAAAAGCTAAACCCCAGCCTTACCTTCAGGGCCTGTTCACACGACGTCCGTTTTGTGTGCTGACCGGATCCGTATGCTGCTGCACTCAAAATGCATCCCAATGTATCCCTATGTGTTTTATGGGCTACAGTTCTCACGTGCGCAGTCCGTTCAGCTTACGACAGAAAAAATACTGCATGTCACATTTTGTCCGGTCACGCACGAACGCGCACGAAACGCAACGAAAACGCAATGCAGCTAAGGAAAACATTTTTTTTAATTTTTGCTCCACTTATTATGATGTTATCAACGATAGACAGACAGGTTGGGGTAGAGGTAACGACATGAACTGCAAACATTTGGAACATGCCCATTACCTTACCATGGACATACGAGTAAAGGAAAAAAATTTATCCGGGTGACCTCGCAAATCCTCATACAAACTCCAGAACTGACCCTTGGAGTCCCGGAGCCTCAAGATTGGGTGTACCCAATAACGACGTCTCCTGCGGGCTCGTTCTCTGCAGATTGCTGTAGCCAGCACCATCAACATGCCTGCAAATATGTGATACATGTCTGATCACCAGCTTTACATACACAAAGGGAAGTAGAGGTACTGAGACGGCGTAAGTGACCTCAGAGGCTGAATCTGCATACTGACAGCCCCTTGGCTAAAGAAAAAAAAAATTAACTGTCAGCATCCGGACCGAAAACGCATCAAAAACGCACTGCATCAGCAGCTCCACATCTGCTGATCAGGACCTGATCTCATGTGAACAGGCCCTTAGTGTTACACTGCTGTAACGAAAATACAGACAGGGCTATTCACTAAAGAGTGAAGAGTTTGGAAAAGGCAGGAGAAGTGAACAATCTAGCACAACATAGCTGAACTGGAAAGAGAGCTGAATTGGAGAATTTTTCCAAACCAGCTATTTTGGCTGATTGTTCACTTCTGCCTTCTCCAAACTCTTCACCCCTTTGTGAATAGACCTGTTAGTCGGATTTAACTGCACACAGAGTTTCTCTCAGTGTGCATTAGAAGCTGCACAAGTCAAATGGAGCCCTTATTTCCTGGCTGAAGGTAGTCCAGCATCATCTAGCTCCCCAGCCTAACTGTCCCTGGCTGCCCTTTAATTCACCAGTTTTCAGTTCTTTTAATTATGGATGTGCAGCAGCACATGTGGCCCTGCAAATGCAGCCTGTCTACAAACACCCAATCCTCCGGACTGACATCCACCCATCAAAGCAGAGTTCTAGAGGAGTCCTGAGGCAGTGTGTGTGATGTTTCCAGAAAGCTATTTACAGCCCCCTGTTGGCCCTTTCCCACCAACCTTGATCTGCCTGCATTGCATACAGTTCAGAAACCCAGTGAGGACATTAGTGGGTTGAAAAGAAGAAGGTAATAAAAATGGAAAGACCTTGTTGATAAAAGGTAGAGGGAGATACCAGGTAAGGCAAAATTTAAAGCAGATTAAACTTTAATGGCTCTCTTAAGCAAGGACATGTGTGTGTTTTCTGAAGGTGTCACGGAGTGTAAATAAACAAGCATAAAACACATAGAACAGTTGTAGATTCAAACCCTGTGACATTTGCAGGATGCAGCGGGAGAATAGGAGACATCAAAGACATGCACAACATACAAGCTCTGCACACCCCACCAGAGTATGACAGCATATGACTGAAACATGGGTGGATGTCTTTATAAATGGTGGCTGCTAGCAGACAGGGAAGTAGGGGGACATAGAGAATAAAAGGTAGGGCAGTGCTGTGATTGGTTCTTCTGATCATAATGATCTTTGCCATCCCTTACCAGGAAGAAGTATTATATCAATCTTTCAGTTAAAGTGAATTTGTGAGTTGTGTAGGGTAATGAACCCATGCCTCTTCGCACTATACTAAGAAGCCTTGCCACCAGGCTAGTACGGCTTTGATGTAGAACACCCAGCAAACACAGCCGTCTACAAAGTGTGTAATGCAAGCAAGTAGAAAAAGGCAGGGCAAGTTACCAGTCTCGGATGTCTCACTAGATCTTACACCATGTTAGAACTTGCTTCCAAGTGATGAATCGCTTAAGGGCCTAGCCGAAAGTATGTTAGGCATGTAACTAGAAAGGATTGCAAAGGTTATTTGACAGTTCTTAGGAACAGATCAGAAAGAAGAGTTAACATCGTTCTATACATTGCATCATCATTCATGTTGAGGAAATATCTGGCAGCACCTCCCTACACTGTACTTTTACATCCAGCTGTCATTCCTACAGGTTTTCTAGTAATGTACTGCAGGATCTGTGTTCTCACTTTAACAGGGTGAATTACAGTGCAAGTCAATGAACAAACACTACTACAAATTGGAACAACTTACAAGTCATTGAATTTCTCCAGCGTCAAGTCAGGTGTGAACACATCTAGCAGCCCAATTACCTACAACAGGGAATGAAAATAGTTAGTAATACTGCAAAACATGAAACTTTTTCACATGTACATCCCTAAAAGGAGGGCATTCCATTTTAAGTGCTATAGCCTTTGCTAAAGTCTTCTTCATTGGGCACTTTAAGGAGTATCGAATGCCGGTGTCTAACCCACCGCACGCTATGGTTCCTCCTGATTCCTACATCACTGCTGGACATAGTATAGATGTAAAGACTGTTAGCAGGGGGAACCATCAAGCACGGCAGGGAGCCCAGGAATCTTACACACAATTTATCAAAACTGGAGCAGTTGCCCATGGTAACCAATCAGCATTTCTCTTTACTTTGCTCAGTTGAGATTTGAAATGAGAGATAGAAGCTGATTGGCTGCAGTGCAAATCTGCTCTAGATTTTGTCTGCTCCTGTTTTGATAAATTCCCCCCACAGTCTTCTATTGTAGGAACTATTCTTTGAATATTCTTTTGGAAGCTAAAAAATTGATTGGGACAGATTATATATTATCGCAGTGCTATTTTATGTATGAATAGATGACTCAAGCTGCAATCAAATAAAAAAAAAAAGTCACATGTGCCAGAAAACCAGGAAGTAAAGGGAGAGCTAGTAATCTGCCCTTAGTAAACATGAACACTGTCAGAAGACTGGGGAACAAAAGAGAAATAAGGTGTGTAAAGAATACAAAGCCTGCAATTATCTAGAAGTTTGTAGATTGTAATTCCTAAACATTTCTAATGGTGTGTTTGTTGTTATTTTGAATTATGGGTAAAGATCCGCTTTAAGTGCACCTTTCTGACCATATTTCATATTACACCCTGTGTTAAAGTCTTGAGTAGAAAACCAAATTACAATTTAGTTTTTTAAAACTACAGCACATGTTAAAACAGGAAGGTTCTACATATATATTCTTTAACAGGTTTATTCACTTAAGGGTGAAGAGTTTGGAGAAGGCAGGAGAAGTGAACAATCTAGGACAACATAGCTGAACTGGAAAAATTCTCCATTTCAGCTCACTTTCCAGTTCAGCCATGTTGGCCTAGATTGTTCACTTCTCCTGCCTTCTCCAACCTCTTCACCCTTCTGTGAATAAACCTGTAAGCGTCCAAACTGCAGTTCACAAAAAGAGGACCAATCATTAAATATTAAAGTATTACTAAAAGCTATGCGTCTTTTTACATTTTTTTTTGCATTCTCTGCAATAAGGTAAAAAACACCCGGTAACTTTCTGGAAGTTAAAAGTGATCCTGTGATTTGCCCATGTGGAGCAAAGCAACAGGTGCATTTCAATGCCCCCTGCCCGGCTGTACATATTCTGTATTCCTCGCTCTCCCACCACTCAAGCCACTACATGTGAGCAACGAAAGGTCGCCCTGTGTATACACCGAGCCACTTAAAGCAGTATTAAACTCAATCTTTTTTCAATAATGAATCCAGATCAAACAAATATACATTGCCTAGCAAAGTATAAACACTTAAAGTCATCATGTTTCCAAACAGATCTTCCCTCAACTTCCTGTCCAGGACAAGATCACAAGAGAGAGCAATCTCTTGCAGCTCTCCATCTTCTAGCTTGGAGAAAGGAGGAGCGGGGAGCAGTAACGGAGAGGGGAGTAGCTTGATTTGCTGTGTCTCTGTGTTTGTGGAGACATACACACAAGGATGGCTCCATAGGATTCAGCAAGGGAAAGGTGCCACCCTGAAACAGAATATTAGAGCCAGTGCTCAGGGGACCAGCTGATTCTACAGTAAGCTAAAACTCTTAGACATCAAGAAGCAGCATCCATTGTAAGTGATTTCATCAGCATTTGAAATAGCATTAAAACCTTTTGACTTTAATATCACTTTAAGTCTAAGAAGGACTGACACTCTTCTTCTCCATGTGATGGTACTGGGCCCGTCATGCACACATATATACACAAGCAACACATAAGAATGCAATAGTTCCGCCTCAGATTGTTTTTTTTTTATGTCTACCATAAAGCATTCCCTCTACAATGAGCAGCTTTACAGCTACTACACCCAAAGCAGTACAGAGTCAGCATTCAGATGTCTGGTCTCAGCAGTCTGCTCACAAAAAGGAAAAGGAAAATTCATTTTTCTGTGTGTAATTTCCCAGCATTCTGTTGGTTAGATGAGACAGTCAGGCTTATACAATAACCCACTGCAAACAGCAATGAAGTTGTGTCAAGTGTGGTATCCCATAGTAACCATTTACCAGCCTAAACAGTCTCTTGAAATCTGATTAGTTCTGAGCCTCCACATTGTACATTCCTTGCCTGCTTTGCGCACTGCCTTATGAAATAGGTCATATACAACAGAGTCATAGTGAAGCACGTTGATCATTGTATTTCCTGGCTTTTATATTGAACAATGGCTACAAATAAGACAATCTAAAGTAATCGTGCTTCTCTACAGAACATGGGCTCTTTGTGCTAGCGGATGTTTCAAGGTTACAGGGTGCTACAGATTGTTCAAATACTTTATAGTGTCACTGTCTCCATGGCAATATAATATTTAAAAATATTGCAACAATTTTCATGGAAAAAAGATAATATCCTTCAAACTGTAGAACAAGAGACCCGAAGATATTCAATTGGTGTGAAAATAAAGATGGAAAGAACTGAGCGTCTGCAGGAAGGTGGATTTGGCATCTAGTAAATTATGTTCTATGCTAAACAGTACATAAGATGTACAAAGTTATGTTTGGCATAGCAATGTAGCTGCCTGAAAACTGGAAATCTTTTAGGAAGTTACAATATGTTACCATCAGGGAACACTTCAAATAAGTAAACATATGGCAGTATACAATAATAGACAGACTTTTACATAAAGAGAAAAAAAATATATATATCAATAATAGTTCAACCACTTCCTAAACATCTGAAGCATTTTCCTGCAGATGGTAAACCGTTACTAAACACCCTGGGGTCTATTTTATAATGTATAGCAGGGGGAACGCCTTTCGCATGGCATTAAAGGGTTTCTAAACCCTCCGGTTTTTTTGCATATATTTAGTGCTAGCAAGCAGTAGATGTATGCAAAAAGTGTTTGTTTTTTTTTAAACGCTTTAAAAGCGGTTTAAACTTACCCGTCTTCGCCGTGCGCTCCCGTCCGAAAATCCGAAACTGCTCAGGCGGCCGCAAAGCATCTTGGGGCGGGCGCATGAGCAGCTCGGATTTGCGGCCGAGAGACGAGGAGAGACGCAAGGTAAGTCTGTGGACATGTACACCCGTATGCAGACAACGTTGGGACAGGAAGTGCCAGCAAGGACAGAGGAGTCAGCGCTGGATCGGAGACCCGCAGCAGCGCTGGAGGGAAAGATGAACACATCAGGAAAGAAGATCGGATTAAGAGACATCAGTTAAGGTAAGTGCTGTAATTAACATTGGGGGAGGGGGACATTTTTTTTTTACTTTAATGTCACGATATGGAGCATAGGAAATTCCCTAATTGTATGTCTGGGCAAAATGAAAGAGAAACATATGCAGTACAATCTCTGCAATATGTGCACACGTTCCATTTTTTGACTGTTAAAAATTGTAGTATAGAAAATACTTGCAAAAATGCACAGTCAAAAAACTTGTAAAGCTTGCAGCTTAAACAGCTGTATGAGCTTCTTTGATGCGTTTGCCTCATGTAGGACAACCCATTGAAAGGAATAGGCTGCCCTATGCAGATGCAAAAAAAAAAAAAAAGGTAGGGCTGGTAATGATTTAATGATTAAAATTTTCGTGCTCGATTAATCGAAATTTTTCTTAATCGATTAATTATAACGCACATACAGATCCCACTACATTGGCCTATACATATACATCAGCGGAGCCCAGGATCAGCGGGACAACGGTGGGGGGGGGGACCGATCGGCACCCCATACACGCGATCCGCCGGCTCTACAGCCGGTGGATCGCTTGTATGTTAACAGGCATCGCTGCCTGTTTTAAAATTTCGGCCATTTCCCACTCGCGTGCGCGAGGGGGCGTGTCTGAGCGGACGTCTAAAGACGCCCGCTCAGATCTAGAGAGCTCCGGGCCGGCCCGGAGGTAGTTAATCGATCAAAAAGTTTAACGATTAATCGAGAAATTAATCTTTAATTTCCACAGCCCTAAAAAATGGTATCCGCGAATGTGTGAGAATGGGGCCAAAGTGTGTGAGCTGCAGTAGTAGGCCTAGTTTGATTTGTTTTCCCTATAACACAGCAAACCACCAATTGAACAAAAATCCAACCTAAACTCTTTCTTTCTTTAATTTTTGAAAAGATTGGGAAGTTCAGAACCTCTGTTAGATTGTCCCCATTGGGAAGACTCTCCATGATTAGATATCACAATTACCATATAGGAAGTGAAACTAATCTCCTAAACAGGGGAGCAAACATGACAGGGGTTTTAACTCTTCCATGGGACCACTCTAATCATAAAAAAAAATTGCATTTGTCATCTGGCACTTTACATTGTGTATTCTCTAAACAGAATAAAGAGTTTTGCAAAAGGCAAACATATTTTTTTTAAGTTTTAGATAGAGAGGGCAAGTTTTAGAACACCTGTCCAGTTTTTATTACTAGCCAGGTCTCCTTTAGATACATGCTTTCTTGCCTCTGCTCTCACACCACAATATTAGTTTTACAGAGCACAGAAAGCTACTAAAGATACTGAGGGGAATTTATCAAAACTGGGGCAGACCAAAACTGGAGCAGCTGTGCATGGCAACCAATCAGCTTCTCTCTTCAGTTAAGCTATGAAAAGAAAGAGAGAAGCTGATTGGTTGCCATACACAGCTGCTCCAGATTTTGGCTGCTCCAGTTTTGATAAATTCCCTTCACTGTATACTGAAGGTAACAATGACCAACTGACTTTAGGCCTGGTTCACACCTGGGCGTTTTACAGCGCGTTCCTACGCGCTGTAAAACGCTCAACATGTGAAAACCAATAATTGCCTATGGGCATGGTTCCCACCTGGGCTTTTTACAGCGCGTAGAACGCGCTGTAAAACGCCCTACGCCCAAAGAAGTACAGGAGCTTCTTTGGGGCATATTTGCCGCGCGTATCCATTAGGTTACAGTCAGATAGCCCTCGGTAAAAACGCGCGGCACGAAACGTGCGGCAAACACGCATAGTCCGTACGCCCAGGTGTGAACCCAGCCTAAAGCAATGACGTGTCCATAGAACTAGGAGCAGGGAGGAATTTGAAAAAAACAACCAAACAAACCAAAAATCACTGACCAGTAAAATTAGATACGACACCTAATGTAAGGGGGCTCTCTGATGGGGACACCTAATGTAAGGGGGCTCTCTGATGGGGACACCTAATGTAAGGGGGCTCTCTGATGGGGACACCCAATGTAAAGGGGGCTCTCTGATGGGGACAGGTAAAGGTTCAAAAGAGGTCCCCACCGCACTGCTTACCGGTATGTCCCTTTTAAGGTGGGTGATGCAGTTATAGTGGATGACGCCACTTCAAATCCAAGTAGTAAAATATATCACCAGCGCATCGAAGTAAAATGTTCAACGAGTGGTCATTTTATTGATGTACACACATTTTGTCACAAAGCAACGTTTTGAGGCCACTTAGGGTCCCTTCATCAGGCATAACTGATGAAGGGACCCTGAGTGGCCTTGAAACATTGCTTTGTGACAAGATGCGTGTACATCAATAAAATGACCATTCAACATTTTACTTCGGTAAGCTGGTGATATATTTTAATACGTAATGTAAGGGGGCATACTAATGGGGACACCCAATGTAAGGGGGGGGCACAATGATGTGGACACCCAATTTAGGGGGGGTGCACGCAGATGGGGACACGTGAAGGGGCACGCAGATGGCGACACTTAATGTAAGGGGGCACTCTCATCGAGTCAGGGCACAAACATGAGACTCAGACTTCTGCTAGAAGAATTTTAATTAAATACCTCTGCTATAAAGACTACAGTCCAGAGTGAGACTCCAAGGCAGGGAAAGTTGATCTGGGAACTATGATGGGCTAGATCCCATTATTGAAGTTAATGAAAGCAGAGGGCAACTATTTAAAGTTGAAATGGCAGCTTGGGGCAAATGAAAACGTTGACTCATTAGATCTTTGTGACCTCATATGATAATATAACCCATCAGAAGGGAAAACTTTTGTATTTAGTGAAGTATAATGGTTTTGAACTGCTGAATGTGGATGAACAGCATAATTAAGAGAGCCTGGTTGCTCTGTTCAAACAATTACTTTTTAATGCAAAATAGTTGGCATGTACGGAGTTTTTTTTGCTGCCAGTGTATAATTTTACATGGCAAAAGCATATCTGTCAGTAGCTACTAATTAGATACTTACATTCTCATGTTGCATGTGCTTCAAAAGTCTCAGTTCCCTATATGCTCGTTTTGCAAAGAGCTCAGACTGAAAAGGACGGTAGAGCTTCTTGATGGCTACTTTTGTTCCACTTCTATTGTCAATAGAAGAGCTGTAACACACAAACATGTAATTACAAGTTAGATTACATAACCAGAAGCAACTGGGAAGGTCTAAAAAGACACAAAAGAACAACACACACATTTTCCAAATGCTGCACAGTTGTGCTTCTGTACAAAGGAGGACACAGCCTTATATTAGACATTGCAGATTTTGCATAATTAGCTGCATTCTGTTTGACTTTAAACTAATGAGATGGGCTTTAATTAGCATGCAATATAAAAAAAATGTGCCGTTTGCCACATTAACGAAACTCCTATCTCACCCAGCCGGTGTGCTACCCACACACAGCGCGGCTGTCTGTATAGCAATAATTCACGATCTGTTCCAGAAATGATAGGCTGGTGTCACGCAGGAACAGTTTAAAACTGGTGGTGGTCATGAAAAAAAAAAAAAAAAAGGTCTGATATACATAGTGCTTTGGTTGATTCCAGATTATAAATACAAAATATGAACGTGTAGATGTGTCAGCTCCCGGGTTGACCTCTCGTCCTGGAAAGTCGGACAAACCCGAGAGAAATACACCACAGTAAATAAAATGGAAATAATTGAATGCTCCTTGGTCGGCCCGGTACCATTTGATCCACGGACCGGTACCGGTCCGCGGGCCCGGGGGTTGGGGACCACTAAGAGCACCAACATTTACAATACTGCTACAAGACAATCACACAGGTTATAAGTGAAGAAAGTGAGTACCTTCTGTTTTAAAAAGGCAAAAGGTTTTTTTCTCACGTGCAGATAGAAAAGGAAAGCTACCTATTTTTCTAATTTATTAAAGCAAATGTAGTGACAATATTTGTAGGCTGTCATGGCTGAACTCTTTTTGCTAACTGCCTGCATACTCTTCAATTCCTTGGCCCACTGACTGCAGTTTAAACTGTACTCCGACTACGCCAACTGCATGCTTGTTCTGGTTCAGTGATATCAATGATTGAGGCGAGAGACAGCCAGGCAACTCGCATTCTCAAAAGGGAGGTTGGCAATACAACTCCCATATTTTTCCCTAAAAGTCATATTAAAAGAGAACTGTGGGGGTAAGTGTTTTCCCCATAGTCCTCTTAAGGGTAACGGGAGGACATAAACTAACATCCTCCCGTGACCCAAAGTTCAATATATCGTGAGCTACAGCTCGAAGTATACGGAGACCGCCGCAGCCGGGACGGATCCCGACATTACTGTCGAGATCCACACAGCTGTGTGAGTGACAGCTGGCTCTGCTTATCTAGAAGCAGAGCCAGCTGTACCTGTCCCCTCTCCTGACCGTTCCTCCAGTCAGCGCTGGAGGATCGGAGGGGATGAATCCCTGCAGGGAGCCATGACTGACAGTCACCGCTCTCTGCAGGGAGATGATCGAGAAGTGAGCGAGCGACAGTATGTGTTCGCTAACTTCCCGATCTATTGAGCCGACATGTGAAAGTTTAATTGTCACACGGCTCGAACTATGACCCCATAGTTCTCCTTTAAAGTGAAAAGGTTTTTAAGCGATTTGAAATGCTGAGTAACATCAGTTGCAATGGATGCTGCTCCTTGATATTAAAAACTGTTAGGGTACCAGATGAAACTAAGCACTGGTCCTGATATCCTGTTTTAGAGTTTCCTTTGCATGGTCCTATGCAGTTACCCTTGTGTGTGCTAGTAAGCTTTATGTGCTAGTAAGATGTGTGTCTCCAAAAACTCAGACACAGCGAGGCCAATCCCCGGCTCCCCGCTCCTTCTTCCCCCTTTCTCTCTTCTCCAAGCTAGTAGATGGACAGCTGTTGTAGACGGCTCTGTTCCTTGTTATCTTGTACTGGACAGGAAGTTCAGGGAAGCTAAGCTGAGAGAGTTGGAGCCAGTTGTTTAGAAACATGACAACTAAGTGATTGGACAAAGATATAAAGGAATACTTTGCTGGAAAATATATATTTGTTTGATCTGGATTCATTATTGAAAAAAGGTTTGAGAGTGTATTACTACTTTAAAGCCTATATCCAGAAGAAAAAGATACCCGTGCCGTGGGGATACTTCCACACTGCAAGGGTTAACTGCTGCTTGGGGTCCTGTATAAAAGGACTCTTGCTTACCTAATACCTGCTCCAACAGGCTCCAGGACTGGCGCCCGCAGCCTCTTCCCCCCTTCGCTCTGACGGTCAGAGGCCCTATGACATCATCACGTCTAATGAAATAAATTTAAGGACGCAATGTGAAAGTGCGCAAGCTGGAGTGAAGGAGAGAAAGGCAAGTGCCAAAAGCCAGGGGGAGCAGGGATGAAGTAAGTAAAGCTGCTTTACACAATACCCCTGGAAATAAAAGAACAGGTAACCCTCAGTGTTTTTTTCCCAAGGATAGACTTAAAGTGGAAAAAGGACAAAACATTTGTAGTGGGACATTGCTGGTCACAATGTAAACAACTGAATAGCCATTAAAAGGAGAACTATGGGGTGAGTGATTTACACTCATACCCATAGTTAGAGCCGAGCTGTGAAACTGAAACTGTCACATGATGCCTCTATCGATTGGGAAGTGAGCGAAAACATACCGCCGCTCGCTCACTTCCAGACAGGGGAGGGGGCGGGCATAGCTGGCTCTGCCTCCAATTGGCAGAGCCCGCTGTCAATCAGCCAGCTAGGTGGATCTCGACAGTATTGTCAGTAAACATCAAGGCTGTGGCGCTCTCAGCATATAGCGGGCAGTAGCCAGCTACAGTAAATACTGAGTTTTGGGTCATGGGAGGACGCTAGTATATGTCCTCCTGTGACCCTAAAGAGAACTATGGGGAAAAAAAGGTTACCCTATAGTTCTCTTTTAATAATTTTAATTAATTTAGAACTTGAGTTTGCCTATTCAAGTAGCAACTACTGCATATTAGAGGCCTTTTTTTTATAAAACACATACTGTTCTACTGTTATAGACTGTTCTACCAGCCAAGTGGTGTTTGCCCCAAGCTAGAAGAAATCAAGCGAGAGATCCACTTATAACCTGAGCTATTGTTTTACCTCTTATCAAACCTAAGGTGCAATGGAATATCCAACTAAACGCAATGGGCTACAAAACCATTCCCATGATAACATCTTTTCAAAAATGGAGAATCAGTTATGGCTGGCCAAAGTTGATAGCTAGACATAACATAAAACTTTTGCAGATGTTGCTCCAGAGAGTACCAGCAACTCCACATTATTGAAATATATAAACAGAATAGGGAACACGAGCCTTGAATTTATTTAAAGCTCATGTCCAGTCAAAGTATTTGTTTGCAACAGGAAATAGTTGTAACCCCATCAGGTTGTCTGTGTCCCTATCGGACAGATTTTGCCTGAATCATGAAACTAAGCCACCATATTTTTGAAGCTTTTCCAAAATATCCTGGTAAACAGATCTAAAGAAACCATAGAAACCAGGAAGCCAATGTGAATGAAAAAAACAGCTAGCATGTAACTTGGAAGTATATTTTCCTCTAAGATCTAAAAGGAAAATTTGTTGAGAGAAATATGAAGACTTCAATGACAGCCAACATATTACTATCATGATAGTTGTACTTTTAAGAGACCCTGTCATCAACTTAAAAACAAATTGCAGGGAGAAGCACACAAAAATCAAGTATTTTAAATGCTTAGTGCATCATTTCTTCTTTTCATAAACAATGTTTTATTCATTTACATTGTGCCCCTAAATTTGCTAGCAAATGTAACTACTTAAAGCAGTAGTAAAGCTAGGTAAAGCATCTCAGTGCCAAATGGTAAAAAAAAGCTTATATGGCAAAGGAGACTTACATAGAAAGCCAGCCAATCGGCAATTTTAAGGAATTCCCTAGCACAATCAGCTCCTTTTAAGAGGTCATAGCACTCTCCTCTTTTGGGAGTTTGAGTGAGGGAGGCTATTTGCTGGCACAGAAGTTCCATCGGAGAGGCACTCCTCTCGGCTTCCGACATCTTGGCTGAGTGGTACTATCACGTACCTGGTAGGGAGCCGAGTTGTGAGGAGGCCTCCTTTGCAGCACGAGTTCCACACCCCTGAATGTGGAGACAGGAGGTGGGGAAACAGCGGGCAGCACCGGTGCCGGAAGATGCAGGACACGGAGCCTGGGCAGGTCCTTGAAGCCCTGTCTTCAGTGAAGCAGGAAGCAGGTGTTCATGCGGCTGGAGCAGAGCGGAGTCGGGCAAGCCAGGGTCAGCAACAATCGGGCAGCGAGGTACAAAAGGAGCAGGCAAAGGAGAATCCAGGAACAAGCAGAAGTCGGGGGCAGGCAGCAGTCAGGCAGGGTCAAGGAATCCGGGTCGAACAAAAGCACAGCAACAGGCAAGGTACAGGAACACACACAAGGTACAGGAACACAGGGCTTTTGGATGTCTACACAAGAAAGGCTTTAACAGGTTAATATCATGCATAAGATCTGTTAAATGCAAATATAATCTGGGAAGATTGTTGTTGAAATAAATGTTCTGGCAACAGGTCTCTAATTAAAATCATCCAGAAGAACCTATAGATAATTTATAGCAGGTCCAGCTGAATGGCCTGATTCACACGGGAATTTGGGATTCCTGCGGAAAGAACCTATGGATTCCTGTGGCAAGAATCCCAGAAGTCCCGTTTAGATGCAGCTGCTATACCCATTCAAGTTAATGACTGGGAGACAGCGGACGCATCTGTAAGCGGCAGTCCGTATTGGATGCCCCGACACCACTTTAAGACCAAGTACTGTCCCTCATGTACTTGCCGATACCAATTACCGATACTTTTCCTCAACGGGACATGTGAAATGTTTTTCTAAAACAACACGGACTGATGATTTTGTGGCAGTTTCTCACCAGGGCTAAATACGGATGTCACCAGAACTGAATACATGTCCCCAAAGCCGAACACATGTCCCCAAAGGCAGAATAGTATTTTGCTTTGGGGACATGTATTCTGAGAATACGTGTCCCCAAAGCAGGATACATAATCCCAAAGCAGAACACATGTCCTCAAGGCAGAATAGTATTCTGCTTTGGGGACATGTATTATGCTTTGGGAACA